ATTTGAGACAGGATGACGTCACCAGTTCCCAGGGGATGGGACCGTGGAGCTAATCCAAGGGTAAACAATCAAATCCTCTTTTCTGGGCCAGGCTAGGCCACGGGGAGCGGGGCGGGGGCCCAGCAGGAGGCGCTGAGCTGTGGGGATTGGGGCGGGGCTTTCTGATTCCAGACAAGATTTAAAATCCGAGCTCACTTCCTGCCTCCTTAAGATTTCCCTGCTGGTTTCCAATTGCCCGTTCCCCAATGGCGGCCGCGTCTCAGCCCCGTGCTGCGTCCCTGTTCTATGCAGCTGTTTCCCCAGCCGCCCCGCCCCAGAAGCAGCTGCATCTTAGTGCCCGACGGCAACTAACACTCTGCTCCCCTCCCCGCTAGGCTTCTGCCGCAGCCCCCCAGTGATGGTGGCTGGGGGCCGGGTCTTCGTCCTGCCCTGCATCCAACAGATCCAGAGGTAAGTCCCCACCGCAGAGATCTGAACATAGGAACGGCCATACCGGGTGAGACCAAAGGTCCGTCCAGCCCCGTGTCCTGTCGGCTCACAGTGGCCAGTGCCAGGTGCCCCAGAGGGAGTGAACAGAACAGGGAATCATATAATGATCCCTCCCCTGTCGCTCATTCCCCAGCTTCTGACAAACAGAGGCCAGGGACCCCTCCCTGCCCATCCTGGCTAATAGCTATGATGGACCTACCCTCCATGAATCTACCTAGCTCTTTTTTAAACCCAGTTAAAGTCTTGGTCTTCACAACCTCCTCTGGCAAGGAGTTCCACAGGTTGACTGTGCACGACGTGAAGAAAAACTCTTCCTTTTGTTTGTTTTAAACCTGCCACCTATTAATTTCATTTGGCAACCCCTAGTTCTTATATTATGAGCAGGGCTTGACAATCTATTGAATCTACTCGCCCGTGGCGAGTAGATTTCAGCCTGGCGCCCCGTTTACCGGTGGCACGTGCATGTGCAATGCGGGGCTGGCGAGCGTCTTTCGCCGCGGTTCCTCAAGCCCTGATTATGAGAACAAGTAAATAACTTTTCCTTATTCACTTTCTCCACTCCACTCATGATTTTATAGACCTCTGTCCTATCCCCTCTGTCTCCTCTTTTCTAAGCTGAGAAGTCCCAGTCTTTTTCATCTCTTCACACGGGACCCGTTCTAAACCCCTCATCATTTTAGTTGTTCTTTTCTGAACCTTTTCCAATGCCAAGAGATCTTTTTTGAGACAAGGCGACCCCATCTGTACACAGTATTCAAGCTGTGGGCGTCCCATGGGTTTATATGGAGGCAATAAGATATTCTCTGTCTTATTTTCTACTAGCAGAAATACCCGGCGTCGCCCGGGGAAAATATAGTAAAAGGTGTGATGAATGAACTACATTGCGTATTTTATTGGAAATCCTTTTCTCTGATATTTTACTTTAAGAAATGAACCCAGCTGGTACTTTTCCTGTTATCGTAGGGAAACGATCTCGTAGTTGCAGTTCGTGTGACATGCTTCACAGAAGAGTCCAGCAAATGCCTATGATCAGGCGCTACTAAAAGCTAATGAGTGGCCCAATTCGGGCTCTGGGGGAACCGATTTCGAGATAAAACCAACCCAGTTATTTACGTTAGGAAGTCAGTGGGATCCGTGCCAAATTTGGCGTTTCTAGCTCTGACCGTTTCGGAGATCTTTCGGGACAAACAAACTAACTTTCGGAAATATTCGTAAGACCCCTTTTTCAATGATTCCCAACTTTCTGAGCCCCTGGGGCCCTCCCACCGCCCCACTGGGCTTGCCGGCACTGGGGAGGAATTCGAGACAGGTCAGAAGAGGGGCAGCGTGTGGGGGGTGGGGATGTGGGGTACATAGGTCTTTGGGTCATGACATGGGGGTGTCCCGTCCACAGGATCTCCCTGAACACCCTGACCCTGAACGTGAAGAGCGAGAAGGTTTATACCCGGCACGGGGTCCCCATCTCCGTCACCGGCATCGCCCAGGTAACCGCTTCCCCAGCTGCGAGGTCGCCATAGAAACCCTGGGGAGGCGGGAACACCTAGGAAACTAGCCAGGTAACCCCGTCCCCCGCAGTGGGCTCTGCCACTGGCACCCCCCCCCCC